GGCTGCGGGGAGACTCCCCGTCTGACCCTGTGCCTTCCCATGTTTGCTTTCTGTCCACAGACATTTCCCGTCTCGCTAAACGAGCTGCTCTTTAGCAGATTACCATCCTCACTTGATGCCAATGGTGCCCAGTGTCAATCATTTTAATCGTTCTGGTCTTTGGTTTACAACAGAATCGCTTTAGATTTCACTAGAGGGAATGATGTCGCCTTCCATTTCAACCCACGGTTCAACGAGGACAACAGGAAGGTCATCGTCTGTAACACGAAACAGGATAACATATGGGGAAAGGAAGAAAGACAGAGTGTGTTCCCCTTTGAAAGTGGGAAACCATTCAAAGTAAGTATCGCTCCCATTATATAGTGATAATGTATGTTTTACCCAGTGCGCTCTTCTGAAGCCACCATGCACCTGAAGTGAATTGTTCTCACCTGTCCTGTAGATCACCTGTCCTGTAGATCACCTCCCCATCCCAGGGGGCCGCAGGCTCGAAGCCACACATTTCCCAACTCTGTTCAAGCCCTCACCACTTCCCCCGATCTCCCGGAGACTGCATCTTGTTGAAAATGGAAAAGAAAGCAAGCATCCTTAATGGAATCAGACAGAACGTAGGGTTCACTTGGTCTGAGACTCATTTTCTTAAACCAATATAGTTGGAATGGAGAGCAAAGCTCAGTTTTCTCGATGCTAAAATTTTGCGAAGAATTCATAAGTTTTACCCAATAACAAGCTCTCCAGCCTTTCCTCCTTCCTCTCTTCACAGAGGTTACACATTGGTATCTTTTTAAAGCACTGTCTGTGACATTTAGCACACTTTGAATTTTTTAAAACAGTTCTAGTGGCACGTCATTTACATGTACTTTGCATTTTAAGCACCAAACAAGGTCCCCTGCTTCAACAAGTAGCCATTGGAGGGCACAGCATTAGGTTTGTGTTAAGTGTAGAATGGTCATAAAAAACCAGTTGGATGGTGAGCAACACAGGGCAGGACTTTCATAGACCATTGGCTTCATTTGGGGGCTGTGTTAGGCTGGCGTGACTAGAGAAACAAATCCAGGGACACTTATCTATGTATAAGAAAGTTTTATATTAAGAAGTAACTTATAGCAAGAAAACATTCCAACCCAGTCCAACTCAAGTCCTTAAGTCAGATACTAGTCCATAAATCTGTCGTCAGACGCACACAGCCGCATGTGCTGATGCAGAATGCAGGCCGGTCTCAGGCGGCGGATGGAAGGTTGGTAGGCCTTCAGCATCTCTCCTAGTGGCTCGCAGGCCGGAAGGTGAAGGCAGAGTGAGGGAGTGAGAGAAAGGCCGACCTCCAGAGAGCTGTCCCTCTTGGTCATACTGCCAAGGAAGGTCATGGGCTGTGACCTGATTGACAGGCCAACCTCCACCCCTACAGTTTTATATATCTTCAAGTTAACATGAAATTATGTAATTACCCCAGGGGCCATATGGCCATACCAGAACATAATTGCTTAATTGTTTTTACTTTTTCAGATAACTTCAGGCCCTAACTGATGATATTTTTGAAGTTTATTTTAACCAAAATATTGTTTTGTTTT